GGGGGGGGGGGGGGGGGGGGGGGGGGGGGGGGGGCTGGGGTTTGGGCTTCTACTGTCCAGTCACCTCGATAACATCATCATCAGAACTGTCGCCCCCGTTTAGCTCACTTGGGTGTCTGTCAGGCTGGGTTAGAGCGGCCCCTAGCAGGCTGGAGGTGGGGTTGTTGAAATGGGAGAGAAAGTTGGTTGCAGAAGAACTGGAGATAGGTGCAGAGAACCCCCCTGACCCTTGGAGGAAAGGGCTGGTAAACATCCTTGGCTCGGACTGGCTGTAGCCGAGAGGGAAACTAGACGTAAGCAGGCCAGCCATATTGGGGTTCATCAAGTATGGAGGCAGAGAACCTGATGCGAGGGAGGAGGAAGTCGCAGCTGCGGGAGTGGATGACATAGGAATAGTGGTGGAGGCAGAGGAGAAAGCAGTGGATGAGGAGGGGGTAGGAAGATGACCATTCCCAGTGGCAGGCTGTCTAAGCAGGTCGGTACCTGCTTGGGGGAACAAGTTCTGAAAATCAGCCATTGTTTGTCCTGGTGTTTGAAGGAATGATGATCCGCCGCCACTGCTCATGAGAAGTGGGTGACTCATGTGGCCGAGACCCCCCAGAAAGGAGGAAGAGTTCAGACCCACAGGGGGGAAACTGAGCCCGCTGGAACCCATCGGCAGTCCTGGGAAATGAGCGCTGCGTTTGCCTCCTATTTGTGCGTTGCCCGGGCTTTCGTTGCGTTTTCGTTTACTGCCTCGCATCTCCAACGCTGAACTCAGCATGTCGTCGCCAACCTGCCTACTCAGGTCACCAGTCTGGGAAGGGCCCCCGTCCCCCGCTGGCACAGACGACACGTGAGACGGCGAGGGCAATTCATCCCCAATGCCGGCAGAGGCATCACCGGTCGCTGAGGTGTAGCGGCTGAGCTCTCTGAGTATCTCAGAGCTCAGAGGAGAGGAGGCCCGCTGCTCACCGTTTGGGGAGCGCTGCTGTTGGTCCACAGGGGAGGAACAGCCATTACTCTGTGCGTGAATCAAAGGGCCTTGGTTGTCTGTGAACAAGATAGAAAGGCAGTGATAGGAATGTGGTGGACATTCACATAAATTCTGCTTCTGAGCAGTTCAGTTTTACACGTTGGTGCACACGTAAGGGGACTGAACACGATGCAGAGCACAAACAACATGCAGTGGTGGCTGAAAGTGCTTTTACTCAAAATGCTGAGAGCCAATATCATTCTCAGGATTTAAGCCCCCTTCTAATGCAAAAGTAAAAATTGGAAAAAAATAGTGGGAGAGCAGTCCTTTGAGCAGACCACATGGTTTAAATGCAAACCTAATCTAAGACAATCTAATATGAACGATGAGTCTCACCTCTTGGGGCAGCAGCCCCTGTGACTGGTCTACTGATCTTCCCAGAACGAATGGCAAAAATTCTTCCATCGTTTGTCCTGATGTAAGTACCTGTGTTGGAGGAAAAAAAAACAAATGTCGTTGGAGTTGTTTACTGAGCTGTGTTGTTTTAACAGATTACCTAACATTTCATTGGAAATACCTTTAGATCCTCTGATGACATGGATGCTCTCCCCTGCACTAATGCGAGCCTGAACATCTGTTGTGTTGTTAGCTCCGGGGATTACGATATCTGTAAATGGAGACGATCGCCATGTTTCAAATTTCTCTCATCAACACTGCCTCTGATGACAGACTAGCTGCTTACTGTTCCAGTGGGCGACTATTTAAGTGGAGTTATTAGAGCGTTTAAACACATTATGCTGTACCGGTTGTGGTGACAATCCTTTGCACGTGGACACCAGCTTTCTGCAGGAAGTTGACAGGGAGGCTGCCAGGAGAGCTGGAGCCAGCCATGCCGACCTGTCGGGGCATCATGGGGATCGGTGTGGACTGGATGGGCCGGACGCTTGCCACTGGCTTGTCATCTGGGCGCGTAAGGTGGCGCCTGAAATTATGAGACAATCGCACGCATACTTTATCAGCTGTTTCTACGAGCTGAAGCCCCCAAACACACAAAGGTTTCCTTAAAAGTTTGCATCCACTATAAAGTGTTCTGTCACAGAATATCCCCAAACCCAGAGAAATATGTAAACCATGCAGCTGAAACCTACCAGCCTCGTTGGTTGAATGCTGCAATGCTCGCCAGTGTGTGTTCGCTCGCTGGGTAATATGGGGCATAAGAGGGGCGAGAGTAAGGTATAGAGGCTCGTTTCTCATCCTCATAGCTCTTCTTTGCTGCTTTCTTCTCTGCTTTGGTCAGTTTGGACTCTTTGCGGTCCACCAGCAGAGACTCATGATGGAACGGTGGCTATTGTGACAGATGGAGCAAAAGAAACAACAATAACAATGCTGTTTGTTGAAATATTCAGGCTATTTTCCTAAAATCATCTGCTCATAATTTACTACTCAAAGGTTTGAGATCTTTGGGAATTGATTTTACTGGGTAAGTGAAAACTGAATATATGGACTCCATTCTGTGTGGAATGAGATGGATTTATTCTTCATATCAACTCTGGCCCAAGATTTCTTAGAAGATGTGGAACTTTTGTTTTATGATATGGCAGTACAGCATTTTATAGTTACAAAAATAAAGAAAAGCAACTGCTTCCAGCAGCTCACACTTTTCATCCAAACATACCTTGGTGATGAGGTTTGGGTAAAGCTGGCAAGCCTGATATATCACTGCTTCATACTCCTCCCTGGATTCCACAGACACTTTTTTGGGTTCAGGCTCCTCTTCTACAAAGTGTAAAAGCGACTCCACTTCTTTCCGAGTGAAGTTCAGCACTGGGTTCAAGTCATCAACCACACGGTCTTTAAACAGACAAATACAATAATTTAAAACAGGGGGAAGTGAGGTTAGTCTTAGAAATGTGCTCCAGTGGAAGATTTACTTGTCTTGTTTTGTCCACCAAGCCGAAATCTCTTACCTGACATGCCCTGTTTGGAGACCTGTCGGTCATAGATCTTCTTCTCCAGGGTGAAGTCGCAGACCAGCCGGTAGATGCAGCAGGGTTTCCTCTGACCGTAGCGGTACACACGACACACTGCTTGGGCGTCGTGACAGGGGTTCCAGGATGCATCGAACACGACAACGCGATTGGCCCCAATCAGATTCACGCCCAAACACCCCGCTCTAACAAAGACAGAAAGCAAATGATTAACTTAATGTGTAACGAGGAGGTGTGAAAAATTACACAAGGAGCGGAAAGCCAAGACAGAGACCTGGTGGAAAGCAGGAAGACCCAAGTTGTGTTGTTCTCTGGATCATTAAACTGATTGATAAGCCGTTCTCTCTCTGAGGCAGATGTGCTCCCGTCCAGTCCTGAAGACACACACACAATGTGTTTTAAGCCTAAAACACCTGAACACACTTTAACTTTCAACACAGAGAAGAAGACATTTCAACGATAATGACCACACTTTCTGCAGTACTGCTAGTTTGGGGGAAAGAAACACAAGTTAGATGACTTACTGTAGTAGTTGAGGTTCCGAACCCAGTTTTGGTTCTGCATGTCAGGGGAGATAACAGCTTGGGGCATGGGTCTCTTTGACAAGAAGTCCTCAATAACCGTCAAGGTGGACAAACTTTGACTAAAGGACACACATTAAAAATCAGTTTCAGAATAACTGCTCACTAATAATGCTGGAATCTCGATCCTGTTTTATACATAAAGCTGATATGCATGGCTGATTTTGTAATTATCATGTAGTATTCTCACACCTTTATGAGATCTGGCAAAATTATATATATTATAGCAAAATGACCTTATAGACTACATAAAAAAAGATCAGTTTGCATTGAATGTCATTCACATGAAACAGGTGACTCACCTAAAGACCAAAATCTTGTCTCTTCTCTTTACACTTTCATCAATCAAGTGGAACAGCAGGACCATCTTGGCTGAGTTCTCCAGAACCCCTGTCTGGTAGTTGGACATTATGTCCTTTGCCTGGGGGACATGAACCTTTTAGTTATAAACTCCATCTATGTCTAATTGTGGCAGCGAATGAATTGTCTTAGCTACATTTAGCACATACGACAACAGTGAAAATAAAAGGCTTTCACATGATTACGACATACCCATTCGTACGTGATGACTTGATTGGCTCTATCCTGAGAGGCATTGAGTTGTGGCAGACTGCTGTTGACTTTGCTATTGCTCGAGTCTGCTACTTTGGTCTTGAGGCCAGCAGGGCAACGGGGGTTACTAGCTGAGGTGATGTCATCAAGGTCCAGGTCCTGCTCATTGGCCTGATTCTCCTTCTGCAAGGCCTCATAGAGGACGTCTGGGTGATTCCAGATCTGCAAAGGTAAAGAGGTGAGAGGTCTTAGCTCGTGCAAATGAGCGAATGTGGTAAAAAAGTATTTCCGAAACTCCAGAGAAGAGCAGACTCACTTTGCAGCACACACAAAAGGCCTTCAGCGGGTTGAGGCCCAGCCAACCGCTGTTCCCTGCTTCTCGAAAGCGATTCATAAACTCGGTGTACAAAGCCCTCTGAACAGGAGAGAGCCGCACCAAGATCACATGCTCATCCTTAGTCGGAAGCTGGTCGCTCAGCACATCGTGACCTCGCCTGTGAACCAGAGGGGCCCCCAAGACAGCATGTACAGGTTAGCACTTTGCAGGGTACCATTTCCAATTTCAAAAAGGAAAAGGGGAAGTTTACCTCTGAACAAAACCCTCTAACAGACTGTGCAGCACGTGGCTGCGGTAGCGCATCAGCCGAACATCTTGAGGTGTGCTGTCCACACACTGCCCGTTCAGAATGGGACGTTCGAACATGTTGCTGAACTCCTGGCGTGTGCCTAAAAAGTCAGGCCTGACAAAGTCCACCATGCACCAGTATTCAATGAGGTTGTTCTGCAGCGGGTAACCTGTCAGTACCACCCTACGCCTGGACCGGATGTTTTTCAGGGCCTGCGAAGTGCTCGCATGGTAGTTCTTAATTCGGTGACCCTCATCACAGATTACCACATCAGGACCAGGACGTACAATGGCCTTTTCGATACCTGGAGGAAAAGGGGGGGGGAATTTAGAAATAAAGTGAAAATTTTGCCGGGGTAAAATGACTGATGAGATAATTACTGTGCAGTTGTGGTTTGAGACTTAACGCAGTGAGTGTTGGCATTACTGCTTTAAGTCCCAGATTGTCCCTGCTTTAAAATGAAGTAGCTAAGTCTATCAAAGCCACTAAGTTGTTTGGAATCAGAAGAAATGATAAGCAAGTCTGTTTGGCTTTAAAAAGGGAAGTGAGACATTTAACACAATGCTATTCTGACTTAATTAAATTCAGACTTATTATTAAAGGTCCGTATGGACCTTTAATGATACCTTTCATAAGTTCTTGTTGTCTGTCTTCTTCATCCAGGTCAATGATGACTGGTCCAGCAGGCTTTTTTGATTTCCTCTTTTTGCCCATCACAAAGCTTTTTTTCATGGATAGTAGACGGTACATCTCATAACCCATCAGCAGCACACCTCCATCTCTGGACCAGTCCTCCACAACCTTGGCTCTGGCCAGAGTTGTTCTTTGGGTAAATCAGAGAAGGCGATTAGCAGACCAAACATTTGACTGTGACTACTTAAACCTGCAGATATTCCAGCTTTTGACATACTTGTGCTCGTCGTTTAAAATGTGAACTTTGAATGTGCGACCAGAGACAACTGTGGGGTCAGTGTCAGGGGGAAGGGCTTCTTGTGGTGGGAGCCAGATATTAAACTCTGTCAACCAGTTCTGAAGTGTGTTCACCTGAGAGAAAGGAACAAATAATTTGAGTGATTATTGGTTAGCATTGATTTGTTTTATCTCAACACAACAAATAATTGGAGTGCTCACAGGAACAATGGCCAACACAGTGTGAGCCTCGGTGTTCTTCAGCAGGATGTCAATGAAGGAAATGATCTGTAAGGTCTTGCCCAGTCCCATGCTGTGTGCTAGGATGCAGCCAAAACCACTGCTGGTTTTGTAACGATCCAGAGACTCAATGAGGTTATCGTAGAGAAACCGGATTCCCCCAACCTTCAAAAAAAGATAAACAATGTTCATTGAAATATACTCTGCAGTGTGAGTTCTGCAACTTAAAAATCTGAAGAATTTTGAGATTATTCATACTTGGTGAGGTTTCACAGCCCTGGCCAGCTGTGGAGCGAGGAAAATGTCTTTCTCTTCTGCAGGGTGATTGATATTAACTAGCACGCGGCCCTGGGCATCAGGCAGGTTCAGTGCATCATTGATGTGTGCACCGCTGCTTTCCTCTGAGCCGGTGGCACCATCAGCATCCTCATCTGCTGATTCGCTGCTTATCTGCAGGGCGTCCTCATCCCCAGAACTGAGCTCAATTACATCTGTGTCATCATTCAGTGTTAGTGCTCATCTGGATCCCATTTTTTTTTTAAATAGCCTAAAATAAGAGGATGGCAGTTACAGAACTGCTGTCAATCTTACCATCTCTAATGGCAAGTGTGGGCAACCTTGGCTCCTCTTTTTCATCCTCCTCGCCACTGCTGTCTAGACATATCACATCCTGCTTGCCCAAGAGAGCAGGGACCAAGTGAGAAACTTCCCCAAATAATGCAGCATTCACTGTGGGGCAGAGGAGATAAAAGTAGGAAACAGAAGGGTGACAAAGTGTTTTTAAGAGTTGTCAAAAACCAATGTTGGTCACAGCCTATTGATAGACAATTACCTAGTTGAGAGTCTGGAACAGCTGGGGCTGGTGCAGGAAAGTCCTTCCTCTGCTGCTCCAGACGTTTCCGCCTCTCCATCTCCTCCTGCTGAGCCGCCTTGGTCCCAGCCTCCAGCTGATCCTCTCCAAGAAGCTTTCTGTAATCACACAGGGAGAGGGTCTGGTTTAGTGCAAATACTAAGTCGATATCACCCAATGTACTAAGAAACCATGGTAAACAGATCAACCTACCTGATATTTTTCCTCATGTGTCCAGGTTTAGATTGCTTGTGAAGTTTGGAACCTTTTGAGGACTTGGATGATTTGGTTAATTTGGAGGATTTCATTTTCTTTGTTTTACTGGAAAGAGGTTTGCTCTGGCTCGACTTATTTGGGCTGCTTGGTGGCTGAGAACGAGAAGAGGGTCTGGAGGGAGCCCTGGAGGACGGGCAGGATGCGGGTTGAGACGAAGGCTCAGAAGAAGGCTCTCTAGAGGTAGCTGAAGGGGATTCTTTGCCATCCCAAGTCCCTTCTGTTTGGCTCTGGTTACTTGGAGGCCGGTCTTCGAAGAATATATGAAGCATATTAGTTTTAAACGTTGGGCCACACATCTCTTTAAACAGTGAAAATACTGCTGACCTTGCAGAATGGAATTGATTTCTATTTAAAAACGCAGAGTGAAAAAATTTGCATCACTCACCAATGCTTTCATCTTCATCGTCTCCGTAATTTTCATCTTCCTCTTCCTCTGTATCTTCATTGTCCTCTTCCTCATTTTCCATAAACTCCTCTTCACTCTCAAGGCTGGCCTCCAGGTCACTTTCTGATATTCCCTCTTCAGACATGTTGTCTTACAGGGCTCCTGAGATATTACCTACACACCGTCATCAGGAGTTCTAAATAATAAAACACATCACAGCTTTAAACTGCACTTGTGCAAAGTTGACAAATATAAATAAAAATGCTGGTAAATTTACTGGGGCATTTTTTTTTTTTAGGGAAAAGGAAATCAAACACGATGAAATAGTAAGATTTTGAGGATAAAAGCATACCTTATATGTATAATTATAACCTAAAAAGTTTGGTAGAAGCATAAAACATGGGACATTTCCCCCGTCTATTATCCATGTTGATCACTGTTACAAGAATGTATAATATTAAAAAGTTAACATGCCAGTCAAAGATATCCGACAATAGCAATCGTAAAGCATTTCTGAAATTTGAGTTCACACGCTGATCGTAGAGGCAGCTTCCTTTAGGTTGCTGCTGAGCTACCTGGTTGTGTGAATCGAAATGCCACCGTTTCTCAGCTATTTTCAGAGAACCAATGTGCTAACTAATTACACAACAAATAAACGCAATTTAACCACCGAAATAGCAGCAACATCCTCGTGTGAAAGAAGAGCGACGTCCGATTATAAAAAAAACCGAGGAGAAAAGCATATTTGTCAGCGGATAAGACTGCTCAATTGGGTGTCGTTGTGGGATATCTAACATTGTGTAGGTGTAATGTTGCTAATGCTAGCCTAAATTACACCGACGCTAGCACACTCTGCTAATTAAGACGCGTCAGTTGAACACAAACACCAAGGTGTTATTGAAGCTTACCTTTTGTACTTGATACTATTCAGGGAGTGTGGCTGTTCATGCATGCACCTACCAATTTAATGGAAATATACAGAAATTGTGTAAATGGACAGATAAACGCTGCTAATTTTTCCAGTGTGACCATAAATACTGCCCCTGTGGAGGTGACTCCAACTAAGGTTCCTGCTTTTCCAACTTCAGTCGTACATAAAACAGACGTGAGTGACGTGGGGATTATCATAACACCATCGTCAGTTACATTTTCCTATTCGTTCCCATATTCAACTGGGGATATTCATATTTATATTCATTTTTAAAGCAAACCTCGTAAAGCGTGAACCTCCGGAAATATGATATTTTCACAGGGTACTGTGAAGATATTTTGGAGAAAAATCATAATAGTATTATTGCCCCCTCATTTTGACACATTTCCGATCACCCTTCCTGATACTATTTTTTTCCAAATAATTACATGAGACTAATGACACAATTATTTACCGACTGAATTAATTCTTTGTCCATTTGCCAGTTGTTTTGATCATGTACTTATCCCTCCAACTTTCTGGCCGGGCAAGCTTTTTTGCAACAACCATCCGTCCTACATTTGATGACGTAGTTTGCTGGCGACCTGTGCTGTCTATTGTGTTTATGTTGAGCTCTTCACGGTTTTCTGCTGAATGAAAACGGCATTCACGTAGAAACAAATCCTTAACATTTCGTGAATATGGACTGGTAAACATTTTTAAATATTAGGACACTTCATGCAAATGAAAAAATGAATAAAGGGTGGCTGGAGCTCGAGAGTGATCCAGGTGAGAAATTTCGTTATTTTTCAGCTAACGGACGTTAGCTTCCACATAAAAACTGATAGAACATTTAGCTTCTTAAGCTTATTGACTTATTACTTGGAAAAATACGATTTGGAGTGGTGCAAGTAAGTCATTCGTATAGATACTGATGTATATTGTGATTTGTCATTTGAGCTTTTTTTTTCAAACAAAGACGTAAAATAAGTAGAAGGATCTTTTGAAAGTAATGTTCCCCCTTGTAGTATTTGTAAGTAACAAAGTGTACAATATTTCGTTGTTTCAGGCCTGTTCACTCTACTTGTGGAAGATTTTGGTGAGTACGTGGCATAGAGGTGCTAAAACACTCTTTGTGCTGCTGTCAGTAACACAACTTTGGGCAGTGTTTCTAGCTTGAGGGAATAAAGCCCACGGTAATATGTATTTTGTGTGCATGTTTTGTAGGGGTGAAAGGTGTCCAAGTTGAGGAAATCTATGATCTTCAAAGTAAATGTCAAGGGTATGTTCCTATTTGCCGCACAATGATACTGTGTAAAATTAAACTACCAAAGAGTTGTTATAAATATTCATATGCATGTGAGAGATATAAACACATAGTTTGAACTAAAATGACTCCTTGATGGAAATGTTTGTATGCATTTACATTTCAGTCCTGTTTATGGCTTCATCTTCCTGTTCAAGTGGATTGAAGAACGTCGATCCAGACGGAAAGTTAATACTTTGGTGGATGAGACCTCAGTCATTGATGAGGAAATAGTAAATGATATGTTTTTTGCTCATCAGGTAGGTGATTCTTTTGTAAGAGATTCTGCTAATCATTGTAAGCTGTTTTCTTGTTGTATTTTTTTATTCCAGCTCCTTACATACATTTCTAATGAGCCATGTTATTCTAAACTTTGCTATTGTTCAAAATATAATTAAGGTGCCCCTGATTGGCAGTGTTATTATTTCTATAATTAGACATAAAAGTGGATTGCTGACTATCCTATGACTTGGTGATCAGAATCTTTTGCTGTTATATTTTGAATCTTTTATACATGAGCTAAAAGATCCTCTTCTGGTTCTTTTACAGGCAACTACAGTTTAATTATTTTGTAACATAAAAACCCACAAACAATTTGATGTTAAAATAAATGTATTTGCAGTATTTCTGTACATTCAGATATATTCTGTGTTCAGTATATTCAGTTTTTGTTGTACATTCACATATATATGTGTTCAAAATAGGCATTTGTTAGAAAGAAAGCTGGGATGATGTGTTGAAAATGTCATAAATTACTATCAAACTCAAATCAGCACATAAAAGACGCATTTCAGAGTTTGATCAGCTCTTAATACAGCGGATTAAATGTTTAAAAAAATAAACCAATGGTTTGAGCTCCATTTAAAGAAACACAACTCTAATGCAATTCTTCAAATGGATTACAAGGCATTAGAGACCAAAAATGAGTAGTGTTAGTTGAATTTGATCATTACTACAACAGAATACAGAAATCTGACCCTCAAAGAAGTCGTAAAGCAACATTCCCCTTTATATATTTCAAGTATATTTGAAAAAAGCATACAAATATTTTGAAAGTTTCTGGTCTTATTTAACCTGTTGATGGTGTCATTTTTATATCTAGCTAATACCGAATTCGTGTGCCACCCACGCATTGCTGAGTGTTCTTCTGAACTGCAGTGGAGTTGAGCTTGGCACCACCCTCAGTCGTATGAAGGATTTTACAAAAGGCTTTAGTCCAGAAGTAAGTTGCGGCTTCCGATCACAGAGGAAGTGCTTTCTTGTTTCAAGTATATTTTTGCAAGATCTTTTCCTTTAGCTGCCCTGTCTTTCTGTTTGTATGTATGCATCCATGCGTAGTAAGCTGAGAAAAGATGTGACAAGTAGTGATTTTAATTTATGTTTTTATGATTTTGATTTTAAGTTATCACTTATGTTAACCCCTTTCTTTTTTTTGGGGGTTCTTAATTTTGGATCATCTTGTGCTGTTACAGATAACATTCATTAGGTCTCTGTTTTTTTGTTTGTTTTTTATTTCAGAGCAAAGGTTATGCAATAGGAAATGCTCCCGAGCTTGCCAGAGCACACAACAGTCATGCCAGGTAATCCACAGTCTGTGATTCGTGGTTCAATTTTGAGATTGTTCTGAATCTGGGGGAACAAAGAAACATTTTTCTTTCGCTGGCCAGGCTTTGGGAATTTGTCAGTGTCTAAAAATCTATTTCCCTGTTTCTATGGAGACCGGAGCCCAGGCACCTGCCAGAGAAACAGAATGGGATCAGTGCAGTGCGGACGATGGAGGCCTTTCATTTTGTCAGCTATGTGCCCATCAAAGATCGCCTGTTCGAGCTTGATGGTCTTAAGGCTTACCCCATTGACCATGGTAAGAGTTTTTACTGAAATGTGACAGAAAATTTTGCCTCATAATTTCCTCATTCCTGTGTATTTATTTCAGTTTCTAATCAGTTTTATCGATACATAACTTGAAATGTAACACAGGGCTCATTGGGCACTGTGTTTAAAGGCACTTGACAATGGACCTCGTCAGTTTTTACTGCTTAAAAAGCAAGCGGTTTAAAACTCTCACTTAATTTTGTTATGCCTTTTAGCCGACTTGTTTCTGACACATTACTACTAATTTTGTAGTGTATAGAGTAATAGACCTCATTCACATGAAATTGTACCACATTCTTTATTAAAAACAGTAGTTAAGTATTAATGAATTGGATTGTAGTTTTGGTCAGAGGCACTTTAGATGAAATATTATCCATTATGATTATAGTACGAAACTAACCATGTCATTTTCAGACAGTTATATGGAAAAATAAAAAGAATACCATAGTTATCTTTACTTTTAAAAGGAGGAGAAAGCAGGAGAGTTAATACAAAAACCAATTATGGCAAGTGTTGTTGCTTTCGATTGTATGAATGCAGTCATCACTCTTTAGCAAACTGCTGCCTCTGTTCAGCTCGTTAATGATATATGCGATCTCATTACGCTGCAGGGCCGTGGGGTGAGGATGAGGAATGGACTGACAAGGCCCGTCGTGTCATTATGGAGAGGATTGGACTGGCCACTGCTGGGTGAGTCGCGCAGCAGTTAGTTGAAGTGGTAGGGCTTTGGTTTCTCCGTTCAGCCTTAAATCTTCATTGTCATTCTGCTGCTCTGCCCTTCTTCAGCGAGCCGTACCATGACATCCGCTTCAACCTCATGGCAGTGGTGCCTGACCGCAGGATGAAGTACGAGTCCAAACTGGAAATTCTAAAGAAGAATCGACAGATTGTTCTGGAGGGGCTACAGAAGGTCAGATACTGTGCTGACCTAAGTTTCTACATAAAGCCAATTATCATCCCTTCATAATGCTTTTTTAGTTCCAGTTAAAGTATGTTGCCATGTTTGTAGATGATCCGGCTCACTCAGACAGAGGCGGCCAATGATAAGAAGCAGCAGGACTCTTCTTCTCCAAGTGAGAATACCACAACCATCAAGAAAGAAGCAGATTTAGGGCCAGGTACTTCTCAAAGGACTACAACTTGTGTCATCTGTCCTATAAGTCTTTCCCTGGTTTATTTTCTGACATTCCTTTGGTTCATCTACATCATGCAGATTATTTTAAATCTATACAAAATACATTTCCTATTTCTTGTAGACTCGGTGGATGACACGGGTGTTCATTCAAAGGATGCTTCTAGCCCCTCAGGAAACACTAAAATTATGGGCAAACCAGCTCTGCCCACCACAGGGGGTCCACAGCACGTCACCAGTCCAAACCCCATTGTTCAACGGCTGCCTGCCTTCCTTGACAACCACAACTATGCCAAGTCTCCCATGCAGGTAAAAAGAGCTAAATGGTGTTTGTCTTGCATCAGCACCGATTTTGGTTTTCACATTTGTTCAGAGAGACCACAAAGTTCTTTCACTGCTCACAGTTGTTTTAATTTCTGGCTGTACTTCAGATGGATTAATCAGACAGTTATCACATCTGGAAACTGTGAGTTGAGTAGTGGCAATTCTCCAGATTGATTGCTTTCCCATTACATGGAGAGGTCTGACTCGGGTCCCTGGGTTCTTTATTTCTTTTTTTTCTTACTTGGTTTCTATCAGGAGCACGTCACTAACACTTTCTGATACGTATTTTTGGGCAAAAACACATTTTGCGACTTGGAAACGTTGCGATTTGTGGGTTTTCCAGAAAGAATTCACACAGTGCGGACATAAACAACTCTCTAAAGCAGCAAACACACAGACACACCAACACACTTACTTGTTCGATTAAGTTGTTTGAAAGTTTTGCTGACAATTGATCACATAAATCACAACTATCTCATTTGTCCGTATGGAACACCTATAATGTGCATAACTAATGAATATGAGCCTGTTTAGTAACTGCACGTATGGATGTACAGATTGATTTGTTTCTCTGCTGCCTGCAGCTGAGCTATCTGATGCTCATTTGTAAAGATGCTCAAACCCCATCTGAACTAAAAACCTGTTGCAAACTCATTTTGTGCTTATTCTAGGTCTCCATTATAAGCTGCTTTGGATAACAGCCTCTGTTAAATCCCTGAAATATAACCACACACATAAAGTTAAATGTGTCAGGTCATTTCTCACAGCCTCAGATATTCTACAGTGTGGTGATCCCTTATGTTGTGAAAAACCATGTATGCAGAAGCAAAGATGAGTTGTACGGATGGTAGACTGACTGCTATCTTATTGCAATCTCTATTTTAACCTCCGCCTCTTATTGAAAATATCAAAGTAATAAAAGGAGGATTAAACTTCCCTGGTCTTTTTTTTTTTTTTTTTAGCCCTCTGAAATGTGTCTTGGTCTCCCAAACATTAATTGTCTGTATTTTTGGACCTTCATTGATGATTCTGTGAATGACAGGAAGAGGAAGATCTTGCAGCCGGCGTGGCCCGCTCTCGGATACAACCCCCTCCCCAGCCTCCCTACTCTGATGACGAAGATGATTATGACGAGGATGAGGAAGAGGCGACGGCTTCTGCCAGCACATCCAGCAGGTTAGCATGCAAACATACAAACATTTTATTTGTTTGGCTCCCTGCGGTGTTCTGAACTAAACTTGAACCACCAAATCATTTTTTTTAATAGATTTAGGCGGAAGGCAAGTCTGCGCTCTAGAGCAGGCCGGGTAGGGTCTGGGATGGAGAGCCAGATTGCCCTCAATGTTTTAGCCGAGAAACTGAAGAAGGAGGCTCAGAGGAAAGATGCTCTAAACACTCCTCTGTCCGTGCGCACCGAAGGCCGCACGGGCGGCGTTTCCATCACATCTGCTTCACAGCCCTCCCCCACACCCAGCAACGAAAGCACAGACACTGCCTCTGAGATTGGCAGTGCCTTCAACTCCCCGCTGCGCTCTCCTGCACGTTCCCAGGCTGCCACGCGCCCATCAAGTCCAGTAGCATCCCATCTGTCGCGTGTGCTGTTCGGAGAAGACGAGATGCTGCGGCTGGACGCCAGACATAACCGCGCTGTGAGAGAAGTAGGCCCCTCTGTCAGCGTAGCTCTGCTGCACTTGCAGGAGGATGGAGTTATTTATGCTCTCCCTCCATCTGGTTAGTACAAAACATCCTTACTGTCATCCTTATTTACTTCAGTAGTTTTAAAACTATCAGTTGTTTTTTTAGTACAATCACAACATCAGTATTCAAGAGTTTTGTGGAACTTCATTCAGTCCAACATATTCACTAATGAATTCTCTGTTAAGATGTTTTTGCTCTTTGTTTATTCAGGGGATTTATCCACTGAAGGCACAAAGCGGCCTTGCACTCCTGAAAAAGCAAAAACAAAGGACTCAACAGATGAAAAAGACATAAAAAAAGAGGGAGATGAGGTACCATCATCTGTAGAGGTGAAGAAAGAAGAGGAGAGCAATGATGGAGCAGAGGTGAAAGCTGGGAAAGAAAAGCCTAGCGCTACAGAATCAGCAGACAGCAAACCCACTGGAGATAAATACTCACCAAAGGTAAGTCCAGTAATTGTCCTTTGTTGTAATTTAGTGCACAGCGCACTTCATGGACATGTTTGGGTTAATTGCAGCCGTCACATTTGAAGCTTCTGCCATTAGTAAATGAACTCTTGTGAATAACGTGTACACAAACACAGAGCAGATCCTGTCTTTGTCCTCTCCAGGAGCTGCTTGCACTGCTCAAGTGTGTTGAGGCTGACATAGCCAATTATGAGGTGTATCTAAAGGAGGAGGTAGAGAAGAGAAAGAAATACAAGGTAGGTTTTGTTTTCCTGGAATTCTGTTTTATGATGGATTTACTTTTTTCAAAATGAGCATTTAAGTACAGTTATTTCTTTTTGTTCGTTTAGATTGATGATCAGAGGAGGACCCACAATTATGACGAGTTTATCTGCACATTTATATCGATGCTGGCCCAAGAAGGTAAATCTGTGTTTCCTCTTAAGTTTTTTTTATTTTGCCTTTCCTTTCTCCCTTCTATCCAAACCATCCACAAACTCTGTCAAAGGATATAATACTGAGGCATGAGACTGCACACATTTTAAGACGGAACATTGTGTTTGATATTTAAAGCGAGATTAGTTAAAGTTTAAATTTTATAAGGGAAGAGAAGATGGGAAAACTGTAGAGGAGTTTTAAAGATTTGATGTACAGTTTTTTTAAAGATCAGATTTTTATTAGCTTGGTGTGACTTGGACTTGCTCAGAGTTTACAAACATCTCCCAACAGTGAGCAGCCACAGGTTCCTCTGAGTGTGGTCCGCCAAAGAAAATAATCCTTGCCAAAAAGGCTGGGGAAGACTGGAAATACAGTGAGGCGTTTTTCCTCGGCTTGAAATGCAGTGAATTACTCGTCCAATTGCCAGAAAGCTCAGTAAAGACCACTGACTATTGGGATGATTCAGCAGATTCTTAGTTGGTGCTGAGCCTTCTATTGGGCAGGCATACCAGCTCAACTGTGACTGCAGGTTGAACGGTCGTATTTTCTGTCAGGTCTTTATAACAAATGGCCGATGTGTTTTGGATACTGAAGAGGATAAAAACAAAAACACTATTGTAGGAATGACAAATGTATGTAGATAAACAAAAAAACTTTAGAAGACAAATCGAACATGCTTCGGACTAGTGGCCCCTGGCAGAGTTTCCCTTGTTAGGAGGGTTTCTGCATCTGAAAAGATTATCATAATGGCCTTGTGCAAACAAATGGTTGTGCCACTGCCCACACAGCCATCCAACCATTCAATGGTTCCAGCCATCCATCTGCCTTAGACCCTGTTGAATATTTATTATATTTATTAAAGATTAATAAACCTTGGTGGAAAACTATTTTAAGGAATTTTTGGAGAGCGGTTAAATTTGACTCGTGTTGCCCGTTACAGACCAAATCTCGACCGAAATCTCTCGCCAAAGAGATTATGGTTGATGATTTGTTTGCCTCTTGGTTGATTCACTCATTCCTCATCCGCAGGGATGTTGGCCAGTCTGGTGGAGCAGAACATTTCTGTGCGCCGCCGGCAGGGAGTGAGTATCGGCCGCCTGCACAAACAGAGGAAGCCCGATCGGAGGAAACGCTCTAGACCGTACAAAGCCAAACGTCAGTAATCACAAACAGAATGTCTGTGAGTAACATCTGCGCACCAAGCAATCACTGCAGAGAAAAAGAAACGCTGCTCCTGAAATTCATTCCTAGAGGCGTCGTCGTGTTATATTTTAACCAGAGCCTCTTCCATTTCTTAAGTTGGATCATGTGTTTGGCCTTTTTTTAAAGTATAATTTCTGTATATATTCTTCCATTATAGACTGTACATCTTTCTCTTGTGCCATTTATATCAATAGAGTGTAAATATTGAAAAAAAGACATGTCTGTAATGATGCATGTATACCTTCTTTTTTTAAAGACTCTTTCCATGGGCCGTAAAATAGTTATTTTGTCTATATGTAACTGAGCATTGACTCCAGTAACCATAAGTCAATATTTCCTCAGTGCCAATGAAGAATTGAATGTTGCACAGTTTGATCATCAGCAAACTTGTACAAGTTACCAACACCTACTGTACTGAAGGTGGTTCACTGGTTCTGGTTTCCATCTGGATAGACTTTCCAAAGGTTATCTTTTTTTTTTCTCGTGCATATGGATTTGTCTTGAGATAAAGCAAATGAAAGCACATGCTCTTCTTTTATTTTTGTACCTGATATGAATCTCAAAGTGAGTGACTGTTCAGTTGGATGTGTACGGCTGTGTGTTTTTGTACATATTTATCTGTCACTTGGCTCACCTGTACACTGGGTTGAGCTGCTCTCTTTGTTTTGTTTTTGTCAGTTCATTCGAAAATAAAGTCAGTGAAAATATCCCGCCCTGTGCCACATTTCTTTGTACGTGGATGATCCCGGATTGCTGAATACAGTTGTGCAACACTGACTTCACAAACTTTACTTTGTCATACATTTTTGTAGACAAGATTTTTTTTAAGTCTGTCTGAGTTATGTAAAGTTTGAAGTGTAGTGACAGGTTGTGTACACTAGGGAGAGCAATCACTCAGAGATGAGGTAGAGCGCTTCAGATCTGTCTACATGCTTCAACTGGATCTGCTCACAGGTAAATGCATTTTAAAAGCACTGCACTTCTGTTGTGCCTCCACAACTGTCCAACTAGCATTTGGGATGTAGTTATGGCATTTGTTGCGAAAAACAAACTTGAATAATTCCTGAAGAAAAAAAATGGACATTCAATTTTACAGTATCCTTCTGACTATTTTTTGCTGTAAAATAATGTGAGTTCTGAACATATAATATCTCTAATAATCAAAAACCATCAATCTTATTAAAGGCATTTTTTAACTTGTTTTGTCACTGGAAGAATCTTGGAAGAATAGCACAGGCCTCACAGCAATGTGGCAAGAGTACGTGGGAGAGGGAGCTAAAATAATACCCCCTAGCTACACATTTTTTTTTAGTGCAACTGATGTTTGGAATAAATCCAAGTTATAAAATTGAATCACCACTTTTTGCCAGTAAAGAGAAATCCACTTCTTGTGCCATCAGTGTATTTCCAAGAAAACCACAAAATTCTCGAGGCCTTTTTGTCTTTTTGGTTTTTGCGCAATCTTTTCCCGAAACACTTTACTTTATATGCTCTTCGACATCAGAGTTTGCAGTTTATTACTACTTTCATTATTTTCCAAATAATTTATGGAAGAGTAACATCTTTCACATTATCATTTATTCAACATTATATTCCTACAATTTTCAGTATCCTTTTCTGCTCTGCAAATGAAACATTTTACTGTATAGTTCGTTCATGAGGCTTTTTGTGCAAACTTAATTTAATTTTCCAGTTTGCTATTTCTGTGTCTGGTAGTTTTCTGATGCTTTGGAGTTCAGTTAAGATGAAATACCCTCGGAAAGTTAAAATTACAATTACATGTGGATCTTTTATTTTTTAAATTTGGATTTTTTATATCTATTTTTATGATTGGTTTCACAGAACATCGAAGCAAATGACAAAAGCTTTTGATATAACAAAACGATATAACTATTAGATTTAAAAAAAGGTTTAAAAAAATTATATATTATCAAAGAAGATAGCAACCTATCGAAGCACCCTGAGTGATGCCCTGGCAGATCACATTTCAGCCTTTAGTCTGTACTGGGTTTTTGTTTGCTTACTAAACGAACGGTCCATAAATGTTCTGTGATTGAAGTCGGGAGGTCTTGGTGGTCTTTGGTCACGCGGCCTGAAGGGGATGGGAAATTCATGCGTGCTGTTTTGATGGCCGAGCCAGCTGAGCAGCGTGAACGCGCACGTACGAGCCACCCAGAGTCACCACCCATTGCGTCAGCGCGCTCCTCTCTCCGTCAGCGCGCGTGCTCCGTGCGGGATGCTGAATTGTAGGTGATGATGGCGGAAGGGGAGCAGCGCTGAGTTCCCTCTGAGTTCTTAGCGCAGCTGTAGAACCACCTACAACATCGTTTCTCTCACGTCGAGACCTCTCCCGACACGATGGGGAACGAGGCCAGCATGGAGGGGGAGGGACAGGCGGGCCAGGCCGGCCCCGCCGTCCCTGCAGCGGGGGCTCCGGCTTCCATTTCAGCACCACCGGACTCTGGACAGCTCATCAAGCCCAGCAACGGAGCACCGGCCGGAGGAAGTGGGGCTGCTCCCGGGCCGGGGATTAACAGGTAGCCGAGATAGCTAGGAGGCTTCGCCGCCAAACTGTGGAGCCAAATCGGGCAGGCTCCACGGCAGCGTGGTATGTTCCGTCCATTACTACGCCGAGCAGCGTAGATATAGCATCAGACGACTGCGTGTAGATAGACCTGAATGGACGCTTAATTATTTATTTCAATATCCCTGTCAACACAATCCACCACCCCCTTTTTGAGAGAGCTGTTTTTTGGGGGGGATTTTTTTGGGGCAGCACCACCCTATTAGTCAGCGGGACTTTGGGTCGGTTTGGAAAAACGTTAGGCTTTCGGCTAGACGTAAATAAACCGAGCAGGAATCTCTACGCTCGTTTTTTTAGTCGCGTCTGTCCCGGGGATTCAGTGAGTGTCATGAATGAAAGAGCGACATTTTTCTCTCTCGCAGAGAAGCAGCACCAAGTAACCCTCGAATACTTTGTGCTGGACCCTCCCCGCAGCGTCTGGGGGGGGGGGGGGGGGGCTCTGCAGCTCACATTTAGGGGCTCAGCCGCTTCTGTTACAGGCTGCTCCGACATGATACCAGTAAATACAGAGTCATTGTGAAAAGCACACCTTCCTCCCTGCCCGCAGACGTCTGCGTCCCGATGACAACATTGTTTAGGATGACAGAGCTCCCATCAGATATCACCAACGTCATTGACAGCATCAAAAGGCATATGGAGCTCTGTCTGTCTCACTTATCAGATCTCAGGCCCAGATCAGCCGGCGACAAAATGTGTTTCAACCTGTGCGGAGAGGGAGATTTGTTCTGGAAAAAAGTGTTGTGGCATTGCTCTGAAAGGAACCCAGACGCTCAGCTCAGACACACTAAGAGTGGCATGGAAGCCTCACATGAAAGTGCTTTCTCCTGCCGGCTTTTCCCTGTTTAAATCCCACCACTGGCTAGTACTGATGCAATGAGGACTGATGAAAAAAAAGTAGCCCTTCCTGTGTGTGTGTGTATCTGTGTGTGTGTGTGTTTGTGTGTGTGTGTGTGTGTGTGTGAGAGTGTGTGTGGGGAAGGGGGGGGGGGGGGGGATTACCCTCCTAACAAGATCTGATATTGCCTTAATTACACAGTTCAACAGTTGTAGACCTGAATACGCACCCACGCAGATCACAGCTGCATCTATCATCTATCCCACCAGTTTACCACCTCATTGTACTTGCATTTCAACAAACAGATGTTGAAACTGATTGAAAGATTAGCTGTGAGTCCTTGTCAATAAGGCCGAAATTCAGGGGTGGAGTAGACATCTACCCGTTTTATGACACAAAGCTTGTATGCGTGTGCTCTGCAAACGATTGCCTTGCACTTTTTATAGTATCCTGTCTTTTCTGTGTATCTACTTGAAAGGACACTCCCCCTCCAGCCTTTATACTCTCCACGGGGCAGGTTTTAAGGCTTATAGCACCCTTTTAATCTCATGATTCTTTTATATCTTGATTTCTTGTATCCAGCCTGGGGTATCTCACAGAATGATGGCTGCTGAGGGAGCAAAGAGTCAGGGAGGCATAATGAGAAATAGGCAGAGTGAAAGATAGACTGTATCATGTGGCTCGATTTCAATGGGTTTCTTAAGACGAAGGTATCCTGCCTTTACATATTTCTTTACAAAGAACGTCTGAGATTTTCAGAAATGATGACGCAGTTTAGGTTTTTTGTTGACTATTATTGAATATGGAAGAACGCTTATCACAAATTTGTCTGATAAAATAAATTAGGATATATATAATCCTGGTTGAGAATGTGTTCAATAAGGTGGTTCTTACTCTTTACTTGGTCTGAGTCCTTCCAGCTGCTGAGGTGCTTTGGGACTTGGCTAACCCTTGTGCTCCGTGAAGCACCACAGTAATTGTTTTCTTCTCTTATCATAACAGCTTTGAGTAAGTGCACAGTCATCCCGATCTGTTGACCATTATTGAGGAGCATTCTGACATAAGCTCTAAATAGTTTCCTGTTTACAGAAGTGTGCTCTTCTGCTGCACTGATCAACCATGACAGCTAAAGCACCAGCCTGATATTTGGGTGATGGTGGGGGGAGTCCCTCTCATGTCACCATTTTTCTTACTAGTTGTAGCATTGGCAGAAAACCTGTGGCAGTTTCCAATTGGTCAGGTGGTATGTGACAAGTTAGGTGGGATGTGGCAGTGGGACTTTGTGGCCCTGTGGACTCGTCTCTGCGTCTGCAGTCACAAATCTCAGTTTTCCAAGAGTTTTGTAGTTTGATGTGCAGTAATGGCGCCATGAAAAGTGCCATTTATACTGTCTCTTCTCTTTAGGCTGTGAGGCCCACCCTTTTCAGAGTCACTATAGGCCTACTATACTATACGATACTATACTATACTATACTATATTATACTATACTATACTATACTATACTATACTATACTATACTATACTATACTATACTATACTATACTATACTATACTATACTATACTATACTATAGCATTACTGATCTATTTATAATTCAACATTTGAAATATCATCTTGCTATTTATTGAGAAAATCTTTATCCTGTATTGCTATGGGCTTAAAGAACACAGTAAATAGTCGGAAGTGTTCACTCAACCCTCAAACTGCCCTGATACCTATCTAATGGCATCCTATGCTCTCTACGGGGAGCAGGCACAATCCACAAATACACCACTCTACAACCCGAATTGCCCAAAGGCTCTGTTTGTAACGTCACTGTACCAGACACTCTGGGACATCCTCAGACTCTCTGTGTCCCTGTGCTGACTAGTCTGACCTCTTTTGGTTGTATTAAAATAACCTAGTATATTAGTCAGGTTGTCACAATCATAAGATTGATAGCTGGATAATGTATGCAAACAGCGTTTTGCTCTTTTTTAAACCCGAATAAAGTGACCAAATAGAAGCCATGAAAATGATGGATACGGTCATGTTCTAAAGATAATGTCTGTCCTCATTATGAATTCACCGTAAGTAAAGAGAGAACGCCTTTTGTGTTCTGACTGGTTATCATAACTCAAACAAATGGAGTAAAGGCAGTTAACATTTCTCTTTGTTCCAAACTGAAAATGAAAATGTACGCATTAAAGATTTACAGCGTACTGACAATGTTTTGTTCTTTACCTTTAAGATGACGTATTTTGGGCTCGGTGATAGTATTTTACTGTAAAATGTTTAATCTTTCTGTTTGGGTCCAGTTCGATGTTGTGACAGGCTCAAATCATGCTTTGTCAACCCGACTGGTAAATGGTTAAAGATTACGTTTGGAAATGATCGATGGTAAAAGACTGATTTGGAAATGTACTTCACCATGTGTGCTGTGGCACTGAGAGAGAGTATCCACCTCTCTCAGGGACAGCCTTTATTTAATAAGCATTCTTTACAACAATCTCGTGTTTTATGCTTTTGGCTTCTTTTCCCCATTGTGTAATTCATGGTCACTCAATTTCTAATACAACAAAAATAACAGAAACCTTTTTTTTACTTAAAAAGACTCTTCCGTGGTATCCAAAGTGTCCAAAAGTCCTTGCAGGTTAAAATTAATCCTGTCCTTACTGAATAATTATAAGCTAAAAGTATTTGCCTCCTGGGGGAGAATAGATTTGTCTGATTTGACATTCCCAAAAGGGGCTAAAAACAGCGTTGATGCTATTTTGATGAGAATATTTCTCATGTTTTCATTTGAACACTCACGACAGATTCTCTGTACACATAAACATGTCATTGGCCGGCTAGCTTTGTGCTGTTACCCTTAGATATTACCAAACAATATCTAATGACAATACCTAATCAATTTGAAGTATTAGCTTGCCAGATTCATTTACAGTGGGCAGAAGTAAAAATCAATAAGTAACATAAAGCATGCCCATTATAGGGACACTGATGCGGATATACTGTATCAGCCTCAAAAAAAGTACATATCTATTGGATTATCGGCCCTGTTGCAAGAAACATATAGGAGAAACTGGATGTCAGAGATAAGAAAAGGATGAGATTAAAAATATTCTTGGCAAACAGACAGTAGCATTTTTTGTGAATTGCCAAGAGTTGAATTTTCTTACTCATAATGAAATCTGTCAGTTTAAAGATGGCCCAGGATATTGGTGCTTGGAGGACATAAGAGACATGGGCACACTGCTGAGGTTTAAGTTCAACTCTGAATTTTGATGTAAGAACTGACAGATAGAGAGGTGACTGTAATAACATTTAGCTGAATTACAAGTGATATATCCACCTCTGTGGTAACTTTTAAATTACTTTGATATTTCGCAGCTCAGAGTGTTGACGTAGTTTCTGTAATTGCAGCTGCCATCGCTATCATTGTGTCCACAGTAACAGCATTGCTACCGCAGCTAGAGAATAACATACAGAGGGAAAGTAAATACCAATCTTAAGTCTGCCCTGGAAAATGCACAGCTACAACTAGGAGCCATGTAACCAATTTTAGCACAGAAACCAGGAAAAAGGGGGAAAACCATTGCCTTGCTCTTTCAGTTTGCCAAACTGCCAACTGTCTGTCACCACCCCTTGTTCTCATTTACAGCATGTGAGCTATAATGCTGATAATTGGTAGTTTGTCTCAACCCCCATCCTCCGCCACCTGCATATAACTAAATATTCCCTTTTCTGTTAGAGCTTTCAACCACACAGACCTTGTGAACTCCATGTTCTGATGAAGATTTGGAAAGTTCTGTAAGGCAGATGTGTCAGGTTCCTCCATTGAATGGTTGTAATGATTGCGACTAAGTCTTGTGCTCCCTGGGTGTAAACGATGGGAAGATGCTGCCAGCGCTGTGTGCATTACATTGTGGAAAGCGCGGTGTGAATTTCATGATCTAATTCTTTGGATTGGTAGGAAGCCGTCCCCAAACTGTGGTACTTCTTACTTCATATTCCTTCATAATGTGCTTCAGCTGTGATGCAAATCAATATTCGGCAGTTGTTTTGACAGTGGGACACTTTCACAAGTACTGCCTACAGTTTGTGGAGCAAAAATATCTTTCATTTTAAACATTGAAGCAAGCTATCTCTACATGAAAATAAGAGTTTAAAAGGGCAGCCAAATGATTCTCTATGGACTTGCCTTTGCTTATTGATGAGAGTAGATAAAGAAATCTTTTGAAAAGGTGTCTTCCACTTTAAAATCTTTTTTTATGACTCTCATTAAGTCATGCTGGAGGCTTTGCATAAATCACACGAAGCTTCACTATGTTTTTTTTTTTTCTGTTCAAGTAATAATTATTACATGAATCTGTTTTGTGTCTTGTGTCTTTTAAGGACAGCAGGTATGAAATATTTAGACAGAGATTTAGTCTCTGCAGCGCATTGTTGGCTTGGGTATTTTGAAATATCTGGTCAGATTTGTTTCAACCAGTGTAAGAGTGCAGTTGGAGAATGTAACAGACTAGCAGTGTTTTGAAAAGCGAAGACCCTTCCCAGATGGGCTCACTGCTGCAAACACAGGACTCCTTTCAAGAGTGGACCAAGGTTAGAGTTGTGCAGCAGATCTAGTCTTCAGCAGTGCCTAACAATGCTTCTTTTCTCTGCCTCCATTCCTCCCTTTATCTTTAAACATTAAACAGTCAAAACTTTCACTGTGGATGTAGCAGTGCTGCTGAGAGCATCTTTTAAGATGATGGGCCATGAAAAAACTGTCTTAAGCTGTTATTGCAGTGGAAAATCTTGATTTATATTGAACTATTTGCTCCAAAGCCTCAAGCCCAGAATGAGTGTGATTTTTGTATACCCTTCTTTTGTTCAACCACATACACCTCGCTGAGCCCGGAGCAGAGTGAAAACAAACCACAAAGAGAACTTCACAGAAATTGATAGAGAGGATATAAAACAGTCGATATTTGCCTATCAGTTGGCCAGTGCTTTTAGTTGTGTACCATCATAAAGGGATGCAGAAAAGCATCCTAATGATGTATGGATGAAATGCATCACAAAATTAAAGGACGCTCACCACTCAAGAAGGAGCGCTGCCACTTAAAAATAATTGTTGATAAAAAAATGCTTCCATGCATACAAGGTTGAATAGGTTTATTGAAACGTCTTCCTGATTGAAGAAAATATCACAAGGATTTAACTGTTAATGTGGCTCACAGGTCAACATTGGTGAAAAGATTTGGAGCTGTGCAAAAGATATTCTGTAAAACCACAATTGGAAATTATGTTTGGAAATACAGTAAACAACATAAAATGCAGAAATAATGTATGAATCAACTATATATTGGGCTTCCAAAATAGGTTCCTAGGTATTATAGCCAATATAAGTTTTTGAAAAGTGTAGGCAGAAAAAAGTGAGTTTGTACTCAAACAGTACAGATAAATGGCATTTTCTCTTCTCAAAATGGTCTCACTTTAGCAGAGATTTCTACTAGAGACTTAGTTTATATGTAAATGAGTATAAAAGAAGATATATATATATATGTCAGCTTATAGTCTTATAGTCTTTCTGCCTAATCAATTAGACGCCTAACTCAGAATCCATGTTAAACGTTTTTTTTCTTGTCCTGTCCTCTGTCAGACCTCCTCCATCAGACCCCGGACCTAAAGCAGCCGTCCAGAGCGGTCATGGGACAGGTGACCGGTTGGCCTCCCAGCATGCTTCTCAGCATGCTGCGCCTCAAGGAGAGCAGGGCCAGGGTCACGTGGCCAGGAAGAATCTGCAGGTGGATTTGGGTAGCAGCAGGACAGGAAGATCCCCTTCTGTGTCCCCAGACCGAGGCAGCGTCCCCACCTCCCCTTACTCTGTGCCTCAAATCGCTCCCATGCCCAGCAGCAAACTGTGCCCTGTCTGCAAAACCACTGACCTGATGGGCAACGGGGACGACAAGCCCACCTCCAACACCTGCACACAGTGTCGCTCCATGGTGTGCTCCCAGTGTGGCTTTAACCCCAACCCTCATCTCACAGAGGTAGGTGGAATTTATTTACAGGATTATTCTCATTTCCACCTTTTTTCCTTCTGCAAAAGCACAGTATATGTGGGAGGCATATTTTTCTTTTTCCATAACAAAATAGGTAAAATAGGACCAACCGACAGCGCAAACTCATCCCAAGAGAATTCAGGTGTACAGAAAAACCGGCATAAGGCTGAAGAGCAAAAAAGTAATGGTGTAACGGCTCACTGCTCTCTAACTTGGCCTGTCATTGTCTAATTGTAATATCTGAAAATTACAAGGGGTAACTTGAGGCATGTCCTGTCTTGTTGCTAACCATGAAGCTCAGGGGTTGGCATTTTAATATCTTTAGGCTTTCATTTTGTATAATTTCAGCTGTGTGGGTCTAAAAAACACCTAGTAATCATATATTATCTATGTATTGCGTACTTGGTGTTAGGGTTATTCATCTTGGCAGCTTTCACAGAAAGTCCCCATCATTGCGGTGAAAACCTTACAAATATAAGAATATCAACAGCACTAATTTTGGCATTACGAATCTTAAACTATTCCTAATTTACATTGGCCTGCAGAGTGGATGGTGGCTGTAGTGGCTGAGCTGGCTCACAAACTGGAGTGGACAAGCAACAGATGAGATCAGGGAACACCTGTGAACTTTCAGTTCTGGCCATGATTCATCGTGATTGAAAATTCTTTGATGACCCACAAAGATCTCTAAGGAAGGTCGCCACACAGTTCCTGGGTGGCTGTGACCTCTGCGGGTACAAAGCGTTTAAATGGTCTGTACGTATACGCTGTGCATCCATCCTTTCAGATCGCGTTACGTCAGCATCTAAATAATGCTCAGAGCTCCTTCTATAACAAGCTTTCTGTAGCACGTCTGAAGACAGCACCGTTCACATGCAGCTAACAGGTAGCCGAGAGAGCCCATTGCCCTACTCCTCAAATAAATGAATTTCCTAATTTGAATTAAGCTATGCACGACTGTTACTGTGAGTCAAGTGTGATTGTGTCATCTGTCACAAAGTCTCACATCAGCTCCTGTGAGTCACTTTGCAAACAACAGTAGTGCAATGTTAGTTAAGCTCGCCTGCAGGCTATCAGAGTAATTATGGGCTTACCACATACCATGTTATGGGGAATTTCAGTGTATTTTTCAAACTATAACAGTGTGGATGTAGACTTACAGAATAATACTTCCATTTAAACTTGGGTGCATGCATTTACAAGTGTGTACATTTGTGAAAAACCTGTCCGACAGTGTTGGAAAAAGATAGGTGTGGGAAATGGTACGGCAAGACCGAAAATCGTGGAGCAAAATGGAAACAAACGGCAGAGAATAGATCACGGCAGGGAGTGAAAGAGAGTGCGGCACTAAGGAGATCAGCGGAGGTGGATACTTTTCAGCTCAGCCGTGGTTAGCTTGTCAGATGTTGACAGGGAGAGAGAAAGTGCTGCCTCTGGAGACTTTAAGATTTACCCCCATAACCTACTTAGCATGGATTGGACCACTGCCTCACTGCATATCTAAAAAAAAAAAAAAACCCTTTTCACTCATCACTGAAATTGATTATGGCCGAGTTGTTGCTGATCAAGGTGATGATAACAGTGAGGTTGATGATGACTGGAATCGTGATCACAGTGGTGATGATTGGCCAAGAGAAGAGATGTGTATCTATAGTGAAAAGTTAGTCTGAGGCAGGCAGAGCTGACCTATTTCTAACCTTGAGGTATAGAAAATCTCACACAAAATATTAAAGATAAAATTGAATAAGTACTTAGAAAGTTTGTCCCACTTGTGTGCGGGCTTTCCGGACATTCAAGGTTATTTGTGGCATTGCCTATTTTTGAGATTAGTCAGAGGATGACTGTGAGGACCCGGCTCCAAATGTATGGCAAGAACAGAGGTTAAAGTTGAAAGAAAACTAATAAATGAGGTTATTTTTGAGCAAACACACCAAAAAATATTGCAAAGATAAGTTATTCAAACTGGGAGACGTGGCAGTCCGGTGTAGTCAGTGCTGAGTGTCCATGTGTGGATGAGTGTACAGGGCAGTGATGCATCTGTTGTGTGACAAACAAAACAAAAAGACAAAAAGCTAAAGCAGAGGAGCAAAAGTGACAGTGGACAGACTTGTTTTTTAAGAGGAACCACCATCAGGAGACGAAGAAAGCCAAAGATCACGTCTTACTTTGGGCCATATATGTTGGTTAGTGCCCTCGCCTCAAAGCAAAACGGTTTCTGTTTCCGGCAGGAACCGTTCTGTGTAGAGTTTGCATGTTTTGCCCTAGCTCTCCAGCAGGTGCTCTCTCATCTTCCTCCCACCATCCAAAAGCACGTGTCTTAGATTAGATGAAAATTCGAATTTAGCATTTACTTACTTTAGGGTCAAACTGACCTCAGAAGTGAATGGGGATGTTTGTCTCATTTGACTCTGTGCAGCCCTGTGATGGATCGGATGGAACAGGCTTCAGCAAACCCAGCAACCATGTATTAGATTAATTGCTTATTGATGGGCAGACAAAAAGCACGGACTACAAATGAATTGTTTCAACTATTTCAGCAACAGCGTTTTCTCCAATCTCTTGTAGCTTCACAGACCTTTTACATAAGCGAAAACCCCAAAAGTGTAAAACCTCTTCTGCTCTGTATTATGCTTAACAGACATTCCTCAAAATTGTATTAAGAAAATTTTCAATATATCCCTGTAAGGTTCAAGCAGTGTTTAGTAAAAGGTTACATCTCTGGGAAATGATCTTGAAGACGGTTATTAAATACATACGCTGAAATAAAACTCAGAGTTCTTTTAAATAACCCAGTGATGGAAATGTTATTTAATTGTAAACAGTGAGCAACAAATGGATGTCATGTGCCACCGTCTGTTACAGGGCTGTCAGTCAGGTTTTATTTAAAGATTCAGTCTGACAAACGAGACCTGCAAGCTATCATACACGTGAGCTCCCGGGTACATGTGATCATGTTCTGTTGTCGACAACGGCAAAATAACTCCAGTATTTTTTTAATACAGTTGTTTTGAAGAACAAATTTGATCTAGAAAAATCAGAGGAACCACAAGAAGGGAGAAACCCAGACAGCTGCAGACAGGAGTCAGTCTGAAATCAGACTTGAAACAACGTGAGAACAGAGAGAGTGAAAACTACCACAGACACTCCCCTGACACTGCTCTCCCACCATCATACAGGAGAACATCTGCTTTATAATTGGTCCAATTTCTATTTATAGACTCTACCCTCCTTCCGTCTGCAGCGATGGCCACAGCCGAAAGACTGAACTGTGTGAAAAAGCTGTGTGTTATGGAGAGGAAGAGAAAGCATCATAACCTAAGCATAATTGTGTTTAATCCATTGCTTTTCCAAAACAACCCAATCGCACAACAAAAATAATGCAAAATGTACACTGTAAAACTCATGGATTCTTGAAAACAAGCCAGCCGGTGTGCCTCTTTGCAAAGGAGGCATTTCCAATGGATGTAGACCGTTTAATGTTTAAATCCAGGACCAAGTCAAATTTGTTGCCCTAATCTGATTACTGACTTTGGAGGTGTCTTTTCCCCCTTTTAACCAGCAACCCCTCAAGCTGAGGCACAGGTTTAACAAATGCTCCCACACATAGAAACTGTTGATCAAAATATATCCAGTGGGTGGCTAGAGTTCTATAATAGACCAGATCTAACAACCAAGCCAATAACACTGGTGTCAGTCTTTAAAAATGCTGTACAAACCAATCATTTTAGATTTAGTCTGTCAATGATATCATTTCTTGTGTGTCAAACAGGAAAAAGGACAGAGAAACGTAATTTTTTTATGATTTTTTACAACATATTTCTCCACCATGTTGCCGGCCACAGAAAATATCAAACATTGTAAAGCTAAGAATCTTTCATTGATGCCCAGGTTCTGATCTCAAAGCTGAAAATTGATTTTCCCAAGCTCCCACAGCAGCGCCAGCATGGGAGCACAAGTTATTTACAGTGTCATAAGTAAACAGTGCCTTTTAAAAGTATATCTGAATTTAGCTTTCTAGGTTGTGAACGTCTTGGGTGCAGCATTGATCTCAGCTTGAACTTCAAATTGTAATTACCTTTTAATGTATGAAAAGCTCACTGTTGTGCCTCCAACTGAGAGCTTCCTCAGTTGGTCCAGCAGCCACTTTTTTACAAGTGACGGTAGATATAATTCACTTATATCTATTGTCTAAATTCTTTTGTATGAAGACTAAATAATGCCTCGATTAACAAAACAAGAACTGTGTAAATGAAAGCGACACATTCATATCAGTGAAGAACAAATCCATTGTACCTCGGGGGAGCTGGAGTGTGGATCCTAATCCCCTCAAATTAATTCAGATATTTAGTATCAGAGATTTCTAATCCCAGTCAGTCTTTTTATTATGTGTCATTGGAGATTCACTGGCAGTCAGATCAGGATTAGTTATTCGAGTCTCTTTCGGAGCTGATGTTGATGTAGATTCTCGGTCATCCTGGTAATCCAAAGAGCTTGAGTAAAGGTAACTGGACTTCTTGGATCTCGAAGATGCTTCACCTCGCAGCCGAAAGGCTTCAGAGAAGGTTGTTTGTCATTCTGAGCTGTAGATGGTCTAGATGTCTGAAAGGCTGAGTTTTAGTCACATGGTTCATGGTGTGAGCGGTTATGAAACTGCCCGAGGAAGATAGGCTGTGCTGGTAAGGTGATACCTGAGACCCCCTGCTCTGTTTGAAATAACTCTTTCCTTTTGAATATAGATTACTTCCTTTACTCCTGTCTAAAACCATCTGGAAAATCTACAGGTAAAAATGAATTCCACATTGTCCGGGGTTTTCAGCCAATGAGCTGCTCAGAAGCAGATGCTCCCGACCGAACTGAGTGGAAACGTCTCCAATCCCAGAAGAACTGAAGTTGCCTGTACAGTTTTTGTGGAGTCCTTTTGAGTTATTGTTTAGCAAAGGTGAAAAATTATAATACATACAATAATATAATATTGTAATACCTAATGTTTTTAGCATTATTCAAGATTGTCCCCCTTCAGGGGAAAAAAAATCAAAACAATCATTTGTCAGGAAAAATAACAACACATTTTTTATCTCATGATAAAAAACTAAATTTCTTTCCCAACACTTTCACAAAAGGGTGAGCTTTCATCACAATGCTTTCGGATGCAATTATAGACTGAAACTAAATGGACAAACAGTGGGAACTAGGTCAGGAATCCAGCCGAGACACATGAATGCTGATATTTGCATATTCCAAAATATTTTGCAATGAGAACTGCCAGAAACTAAATCTGGGATGCTGGTTTAATTATTACCCCTTAACTCACTGCATATTAAGTCCCAGCTTGCTGTAATCTTTCGAGCTGTTCTTCCTGCAAGGAACAACAGAAATCATCACATTCAGCAAGTCACATGAGCTTCTTGATCTTGATGCATTTTATTAACTTTGCCTCCGGAAGACAGCTGAACAACAGAGAGGAATCGTGAATTTAACTGCCTGGTGGTGAAACTATGCACAAAGCCAGTGTGCTGATATCATCACTCTCCATTTTTGGGTGTCCTGTTGTTTCGTTTCCTATTACCAAACCACAATTAGCTATATTAGTGAGTACTGTTTTTTGTA